AGGGCCTAATGGTGTGACCTGAAACGTATGTGAAAAGAATGTTTTTGTTTTAAAAGGCTAAAAACTGAAGAAAAAAAATCTACCACTGGGATTCCTATCGGCTCCTCTTGCAAGTCCTCAGAAGGGCTGGGAACCTCACATCCACAATACTGTCCTCCTCCCAACACAATATAATTGGTAGGGTTCTACGTGGATCTGCCACTAAAAGGGTTTGTGGAGGGGGGGAAGGACACAGATTCAAGAGACATTAGGGCTGGAATGGACCTCACGAGATCATCGGGTCCAGCCCCCTGCCTAAGGGGCAGGAACTCAGCTGGGGTCAGATGACTCCAGCAAGATAAGTATCCAGATGCAACTTGAACAGTTTGCCAGAAGATTTCAGTGCTAGTGCTGACAGCAAAGGAATGCTGGAATTGAGCAGGAATAGGTTCAGTCTTAAGTCCTGTCTAATGCTTACAGACCCTTCTGCCATCCCCCTTCACAGCCTCTGTCTTCTTTTGCTCCTATCCTTCCTTCTCTAGCTCAGGTCCCTAAAGCTTTCTTGTTGCTAGCCTTCTATTTTCTTCCCTCTCTTGCCTCTGCCCCCACCCCTCACATAGTCACACCACTCAACTTCTGCTCTGCTCACTAGTTCCCTGCTGCAGGCCCCCTTTGAACACCTATTTCTACCTTGTCTGATGGAGCCTCTATCTTTCTCTCTTCTGTATCTCCCCATTTGTAATAGTTCCTCCTCCCTCCTGCTCCTGGTTGTCTAATCATGGGAGAATGTCTTCTACCTTTCAGCTGATGCCCGGGACAAGATGGCTCCCAACATCACAGAGGAGCAATTGCAAAAGCTGAGCAGAAGTTTCCTGCAACCAATCAATCCTCACTCGCTCTATGGGGATGTCCACACACAGAGTGGTCATCACAGAGCAGTTCTGAGGGGATAGAGAATATTCAGTACTGATAAACTTCTGAGAATTTAGCTGCCCAATGCCAACAAGTCTCTGCTTAACATGTGAATGGAGATTCTCCAGGGGCTCATAATCTGGCAAGATTTGGCAAACTGCAAATCCCTGACATCAGAGCAAGCACTCTGTCAAATCCAGAGTGCCTGCTCCAGATGATGGAGATACGCCAATTATTTGAGCAGCTCAAACGCACGATCCCCCTACAAATATTCCACTAACCTTGTTCTTCAAAATAGTTAACCTGTTTTGTGTGAAATCTGACAAGAATTTAATCGTAGACAGGGAAAACTTCAGATTGAACTGGTAAAAACAGGAAAAAGTTATAAGCAACTGCAGCCAGGCTTGTATCATGTCTCAGTTATGGGTGTTGCAACCTTTCCCACCAATTACATGCACAGGCTTTACATAAATACATACAGCTAACCAGATAACATGAGGAATATTCATTTAATTCTCCCCCATTACCCGTAATTAACTGTTGTGAGAAACTTGAACTAATAAAGAGATTTTGGAGAAGTTCCTAGTTGGGTATGACACATGCACAAAGAACATGGCCAGCATTCAATATTCGTGTAGAATGTACTTAAAACAAAGAAATTAAATTAACTGAAACTCCATAGCTAGGTGTGAGCAAGTGTAGCAGAATCAGGCTATTATCAGTAAGTTCATGACTTTTAAAGGCAAGAAGGACTTTAAGATCATAGGAAAGTAGGGACATTGTGAGGTCCCTTTCAGCCCTGCTTTCCTATGATCCTAAAGTTCTCCTTGTCTTTAAAAGCTGTGAACATACTGATAGTAGCCTGATTCTGCACACTTGCTCACACTTTTTACTCTAAGTAGTTTCACTTAATTGCAGGTCTTCACTTGATTTATTTATTTACTGCTTAAACCACAGGACTGCTCAGCATGACCAGAAATAGCTGCCCATAGCAGTGAGAAAGATCTCAATCTGGGGTGACTACCTGCAAATCAAAATAAAGAGATATATTAAAAAAAAAAAAAAAAAAAAAAAAAAATCAACTCAAGTCTTGAGCTCTAGTCTTCTCTCAAGTACAATATTTCAGAAAGATCCACCACAACCCCCATTTTTAAGTGTGTGCAGGAAGCAGTGCTACAGCATATGCCACAGACTCAAAATTCTATTTCGATGGCTACATTAATTTATTTGGATCAAATGATATTTATAAATATTGTATTGCTGGCTCTTTTTGAACACACAGGAGATGTGCAGCAAGCATTCCTTTTCTCTAGTGTTGAAAGGAGAAAGCGATGGTGTATAGAGGGTTGCTATGTATGCATATGAAACGAAACAGAATTTGGAAGGCAGGAGAAAGATAGGAAAACCAAAAGCTCTAGAGTTCCTCCCCTTCTTCTACATCTACAGAGCACGAGTCTCCTGACCCCATGCTTACTGCATAGTTACAGCTTCAAGTATCCGTACTGATTTTTGTCTGTCTAGTCATGCAAGGCTTGAGAGTTAAAAGGGGATGCTTGGTACACTATCATGAGAGGTTCCCGCAAATTAAATCACCACTTTCCATCATACACCAAAGCTCTTGTGTCCTCTTGGTTCTCCTCAGTATTGCTGGTGGTACATTTTCACTTATGACAACCAACTCAAGGCTTCACGTGGCTACATGTCCATAGTCTTGTACAATATAACACCAGAAACACTGAAGCAAGTCAGACATATCAAACAGGAGTGCAGAGCTGTGTGCACTATGCAGACTTCTTGAATGTAGTCTCCCGTCTGCTGCAGGTTTTGGGTAGTGTCAGTTACAGGCAGCAGATGAGAACCAGTGAAGGCTGCGTTTGCTCCTTCAAAGTAAGCAAAGGGACAGGACTAGGGAGAAAAAACACTAACACCTTGGAAGAGTTCCCTGGTACAGCTAGAGAACAACAAAATCCAAAGTTGTAGGAAAACACTAGGTTTCTCACACAGTTTTCAAGCACAAAATGTTTATTTTTCTTTAATATATACAATCTCTTGGGGTTCTTAGTGCCACTGACTTTGTCAGTATACAAGGGATGGACTATACAACAGGCAATAGCGACAAACTGTAAGATTCAGTGCAAGCTGAAGGAGAAATGGTGTGAGAACATATTTTCCATGTTTGCTCATGAAGCATACAGACATAAATCTAAAAAAAAACAAACAAAAAACCCAACAAATTAAAGATACATGTTACAGAGAACAGAAATCTCTTACTACAGTAAGTATCTTGCCCAGGCAGAAGACTCTGCAAAATTGTCTATAAAATTCAATTCTAACTGAATTGATGGAATAATATATTCAAAGGGTACAAACAAAATAATTTAGACAGTTATAATGCTCAAAGTACAATAGAACTAAACAATTCACAGCCTGGCAGCACAAGACATCTCTGCCCTTCAGCAGATAGTATAAAATGTCATTGCAGTAAAGAGATATAGAGCAATGTGCCTTCAAATTTGACCTTGTAATGTTTTGTTACCAGTGCCCATAATGGTTTCCCTTAGTGCTTTCTAGTAAAATGAAACTTACCATCAGCAAATCAGTTACAGTGGTTACCTCGTGCCTTTAGACTGAGAGGTGAAGATGTAGATTCTATGCACAGTAAAATGGACAAAAAAGCAACTTTCAAACAGAAGAGGTGTCCATGCTACCTACAGTGCAAACTTAATTAAAATTTAAAAAAATTCAAACAAGATGTGGTCAGACACCAGAACTGAAGGATTCATTGGTCAAGGAAGAAAAAAAGAAAGAATTTCACATTTTATTCCATTTCAGTGTGCACACTTATCACTTCAGTGACAACACCATTCTTAACCAGTATCACCGACAGAATGGAAGGCAGCATACATGCAAGTACTGTACTTACATAGTTCTTACAGTAACCTGGAGATGGGTTCTCCTATAATCAAGACTTCAGTTAGATTTTTCACTTATGAAACATGCATGGATTTGTAATTTAACTGAACTACACAAGCCCATCAACAGAAAGAAAATGTAATCCATTTGCTGTTGAACTAAAAGTAGTATTTGTCTGCCAGTTCCCTGTTACAAAAATAAAAGTTGTCACCTGCAACAACTTTACCAACAACTGCATAACAGAATGAATTGCACTGCCCAAAGCTATTACTGTTCTTATATACAACTTACTTTCCTTGCTCCTGTAAATGCTCCTATTTTAAAATGCACATTTCATTAGTCACTGTACAAATGCAAATAAACTTGAGATCAGAGTCCCCATTGAATCCTCCCCCCCTTGCTAACTTTTTAAAAGCCTCAAAAATCCAAATTCACCCCACCAATTAAAATAAAAGCATTTACAGTAGAAAATGAAAAACAAAACTGGTAGAGAGCTTCAATTGTAAACTTTCAGGATTTTTGCAAATAAAAAAAATTTAACTCACAAGCAGATTGTAAATAAAATACACCTTTCAAATATTTGTACATCTCTTTCCAGCTGGAACTGAAAAGCTTAAATTCAAGGCACTGTACTCCTGCAGGGGTTAGTACAATTTTCTGATCATCAATTCAAGTACATTAACTTTAAAGATTGCAAGTGTAAATCACCAGAACACAACATAATAAAGTGTCTTCAGCAATGAAATATAAGCAAATATTGCCATAACAAACAAACTACCTTTTGTGAAAACATTTCACAGTGATTGCTTGATGCAGTATATGGCTGTGTACGCTATTAGGCCTGAACTGGGTGCCAGCAGTAGAACCATACCTCTTCAAACACATATGGCATCTATAGGCTCAAACACTCTGCATTACAATTTTGACATCATTGTTAGCTATCAAAAGGCAACAAAGCTATGTCATTCTCATGTTAGGGCCAGGTGGACTGGCAGCAGGTTGCTGCAGGGACACTGGATACATCTGCAAGCCAGTTTTGCCAAGAGCCGAGAACTGTGCAATGCTCTGACCACCTACAATCCCAGGTTGTGCTGTTGTGCCCGACCACTGTATTCCATAAACTGGGGGAGGGAAAACTCCTCCATATTGATAAAGAGGCATCACATAAGGTGTTACTGTGCCAGAAAGAGTAGTACCTGGCATAGGCACTGGCATGGATGGTGAAACTCCAGGAGTTAATGCAGCTGACATGGGACAAGACACTGGAACAACGCACTTTTTCCCCATTCCTGTTCTTACTGAATTAACCTACAAAAAGAAAAATAAAAAAGCATAGCTATTAAGCTTATAAACTCCTAACTGAGGAATGCAGCGTCATATTTTTGAACTACAAGTGCACCATGGAATCAGTTATGTTTCAACCCACCCATGGCAAAAGAAATTCAGCTCCGATGCTGGTCTTGCTCCCTCCAGTGGCCAATGCCTTGAACAACAGGGTGAGCAACACCCTACCCCATCCCGACTGATCCTTGCTAGAGTAAGCCCTGAGCATTAAACAGATAGGAAATGAAGGTGAGGAAAAGTGGTTTGGCCTCTTCACTGTTAAGCAGCTACTGTTAGACTAAAATCATTCATATCAACTGGCAGCACAGGGGAGGCATTATTTTACCCTCAAACTCTTTCTAAGGACAAGATACTTTGGAAAGTTAAAATAAAAAAGTTTTATGTGGAACAAACGTGGATCCCTGAGGATGTACCAGCTAAGTTACTAAGAGGATGGGCCATGCAGATGTCTCAGAATATATGAGAGAACTTAGCATCACAAGAAAGCCAGAACAGCAGCTCCTTTTAGCAATTTCCCCCTTCCTCCATGCTTCCTCTTCTGGGATTCGTGCCTCACTAATGCATACAAATCCTCATCTCAATCTTATTTTAACTTCATTCACTCCTCCTAGCCATGTTCTTTACCACTGATTAATCTGCAGTCTTTTTAAAAAAAGTTGGCACTAAGTAGTTCAATCTCATTGAAAATATCTGGAGTTTGCTCAGTAGGATGAGAGAAAGGGTTTTCTTTCTTAAACAGAGGACAACTGGGATTCCTGAGAATTATGTGCTTAATAATAGAGCAAACACCTAGGAACGATTATTGAACAGGACACACTGTCTAGTCTCCCTTTAGACTGGGTTACCAAGATTGTATTTTTTTCATTTCACACGCAATTTATAAATGCCTGCAGTGATTCTTCCATGCCAACACCTATTCTTGAACACCAAAAGATACTGAGGTTTCTTTTAGTTTGGAAATGTCACCTCTAGAGGGAACAGGTCACATTTTGAAAACTAGTTCAAATGATTTTAAGGAAGGACAAGAAGCAAGTAGGAATGCACATGCAACAGTGTGCGTGGAGGGGGGAGGGGGAGATTTGGGGGTGTGTATGGGAGAGGTATGTGGAAGGGGGAGGGGGTTCTAGAATTTGCCTTTATGCCAAAAAGAGTAATGTTGCAGATTGGATATTTTACTTTTAGGGCTGGAAACTTTTATTCCAAAACAAAACTTGAAACTTTAGACAGTGCAGAAATATATTATGCCTTCTCTTGGTTTCATTTATCCTTAATGCGCAGTTTGAGTCTGACTGTGTGCAATACAATATTAAAAATATTCATATCTGTATAGTGGGTTTGAAATAAGTTATGCAGAAAGAGCAATAAAAAATAAATGGCATGAACCATGTTTTTTCAGGTTTCTTGATTCTTTTATAGTTATAATGCTGCCAAAACTATTAAAGACGCATAGAAAAGAAAAATTAACAAACAGATGAACAGAGGACAGAAGACAGAATTATTTTAAAACTGTTATTAAGCACATATTTTAACATCCTAAAAATGGTGTTTTCAAACAAGCCAGAATGTTCCAAGTGACTGACAGCCAATGTACCATGAACATAGTTCACTTCAATCTACAATTTACTAAACTGTTCCAACAAGCAAAAAATGATATAGCATTACTGGAAGTCATAAGATAGCACTATTACATACAGTCTTGCTGGCTGCATTTATCTCAAAGTATCAGAATTAGAACTTGGTGAAAGGATTATTGTTAGTTGTGGTGCAGCTCTTTTGAGATGCTGAGAAATCTGGTTTTACCTTGCTGTGTGTGCTTCTATCCTTCTTCATCTTCCTCAATTTAGGCACAGCAGCTTCTTGCAGGTTATAACCATGTAGCTGGACACAACACTGCCCAACGCCCCCAAAATAACTATACACAACTATTTTGTAAAGGTCACAACCGAGGTATACAAATATTCTGAGGACCTTTCTACCACCTTTGTTGTGCTTTCTAGAAGACAATGACTGATTTAATACTTTACGAAGTATGCCTGCTTCATAATTATTGCATCTTTTCCAGCTTAGGGGCCCCAGATCTGCATGCGGGATGACAGGAGGCTACCGCTGCTGGCTAGTGACATGAGTTTTGCTTTTAGCCATTTGAGGTGCTATTTCCCAGAAACCCCTGCACCTATCTCCTTGAAGCGTGGCAGGCCTCATGCCCTCAGAAGGGGCTACCATCCCTACAATTGTCATCTGAATCAGGCAAGAAATGACAAAGTTATAGGCATTTTCATGATTCCCCATTATAGCCTATAGGCAAAACATCAAAACACATTGAAACACCCTAACAGTTTTGACGAAATGAAACAGAACAGTGCTTCAAAATGAAACGACACACCGTCCCTTTGAAATGGCAAAACGGAAGTCAAAACAAAACGGGGCTTTTTAGCGCAGCCCTAGTGATAACCTAACCCAAATGAAACAGGGTTAACATTGCGGCAGTTTTTCTACACTTGTATCACTACAGGGTAAGCAATGGTTACATCATAACAGCTTATATCAGTATCTTTGGCAGGTAGAGACACAGATGTGATGCCAGTCACTATATCTACTGAATTAGATGCAAAAAATTCAGGAAAATCTGAAATTCTGATCCACACTGCTCAAAAGTTTGCTTGCGTGTACTGGCATTTAGGATTGTAATTAAAATCAGCTAGGTATTTCTTTAGGTCTGCCTATGGATCAGCTAGTTAACTGCAGTACACTTGAGGAATTCTGCTGGACTCCACACAGAGCAGGACACTGTTGGATTTTCCAAATATGCTACCCTGATCAATTTTAAAAATGCTTCAAAAGTTCCAAGTGGGACCTGGCATCTGTAAGTTTCCAGGTTAAATTGCATGCTGAATTAAGTCACCAATTTCTCCATCACTTCATGAGGGGGGTCAAATCCATGGTGAGAGAAGTCCTACTCACTCAGTATACTTTTGCTGGACCAGATGCCCTTTTTTTGCTGACAAGTTCTCACCAGCTATGATCATTAAGGCATTTGGAATGACACTGGAGCAACGCTGTGATTGTTGTGATTCAGGCTTGTTTTGCTTTACCCTGATGATTTTAATACTCATTACTATTGAGTGCATATTAAAACAGGAGGCACTGTGTGTCAATTACAGAGACTACAATAGCGTTTCCTGGTATCAGGATGTACTACATACATCTCTAAGTACTCTGGGTAGGTTGAGACTGCATACTTCCTCCTGAAGTTATCTTAGGAGGTACAGGAATATTGAAGGGTGAAGTCTGACTGGACCTGAAGGCCAGAAGCCATAGCACCAGAATGATGTATCCTGTTCTAGCTGTCTCAGTTTATGGGTTTCGGGGAACCACTACAGTCTTTGTGCAACAGCTTTGTTTGCGTCTTCTAGCCCCTTGCCAATGCTTCTAAGAAAGCTAAATTCTCTTGGTGGGAAGAGGAAGCAGAGCTGTCTTTATTTTTGATCTGATCTTTATACACTATCTCACTGCCAGTGATGAGAAGACCTGAATTTTATCCAATTTTGTTTGATTTTGCATAAGCCAAAATACTGACATATTAGTTTCCTATTGTGTGTTCCTTTCTGGTATTTGTTCTAGGCATTTTATTTATTAAAATAGCCTGGGCATAAACACCGAGTAAACAGGGTCCTCATGCTGAATGTAGCAAGCAGAGCCATCTAAAATTTGCATCTGTAGTCACTTAATATAAAAATAACTTGCCTGCTAGAGAAATGTTATGCAGCTTTAGGCATTTGGAAATGTACTCTATAAATAATATTGAAAGAGAAGTAGAAGAGGAAACCATTTTTCTTCCTTCCTTCTCTTTCCTCCCTCTTAGTAATCCTTACCCCATCAAAAATACTGTATTTACTTTACTGTAAACCACATTCATAACCACACAAACAATGTGTGATTTAGGCTGCTTGTACATGCCACGGGGATTTACTTCAGTTTACTTTTCCCTAAATTGAAGCAGTGGCTTTTTAAAAACACTGCTTCAATTTAAACTGAAGTAAACCCCTATGGCATGTACACAAGGGTTGGGCC